AACCGCTGACCTGCTGATCTAGCAGTAGCCTGCAGTGCTGCATTTAACCAATGCGCCACCTTGGCTCATCTAGAGGAAGAGAATGGAGAAAGAGGAAGAAAAGAAAGACGAGGAAGAGAAGGGAGGAAGAAGAAAAGGGATGAGGAAGAGAAAGAATGAGGAGGAAGAGGGAGAAGGGAGGAAGAGGAAGAGAAGGGAGGAGGAGGAAAAGGAAGGGAGGAAGAAGAAGAGGAAGAGAAGGGAGGAAGAGGAAGAGGAAGAGAAGGGAGGAGGAAGAGGAAAAGAAGGGAGGAGGAAGAGAAGAGGAAGAAGAGGAGGGAGGAAGAGTGAGAGGAGGAGAACAATGACTATGTGGTCCTCCATGCTCTCTGAGCTTAGTTCAAACATTTGATGACCCAACTAGGTAACATCATCAACCCCAGAAGGGAGTGGGGTGTTTTCTCTCTTTAAACAACCCCTTCTGGAACGGATGACATTCAACCACTCCACAATCAGGTCCAGAATCTTCACCACTAAGCCAAGTTTCCATGACTCGCACCCGATTCTCTGTCTGTTTTCCACACAGCTGCTAAGCGAATCCATGCCGTCCTTAAAAGCAAATCTTACAGTCGTGAAACGAATCCAGGCCCTTTCCTCCTGCCCCTCCCTTATGTTTGGTTGTTCAAAACCGGGTGGGAAGCCCCCCCAACAGCTGCTTGTCTTATCTCAGGATTGAAATCCTGGCAGGTTATCTATATCTATCTATCATCTATCAATCTATCTCTATATATTTAAAGTCACAACCCCTGGTATACCCCAATTATGGGAGGGAGGAAGGATGGAGATGTGTGTGTGTGTGTATGTATGTGTATATATATATATATATATAATTTAAAGTCACAACCCCTAGTATGCCCCAATTATGGGTGGAAGCACAAATACTACACACACACACACATATATACATACATATATATATATATATGTATATAATCAGGATTCAAACTCTGAGCAGCCAGCCTAAAACTTGCAACACGCATGAAACGAGGCTGGATGGATGGCCTCGTAAGGTCCATCTGGATTCTCCATTGATGTTGCTCATCCGAAGGGCAAAAAAGAGGTGGGGGTTGTGTGGCCCCTACCGGAAATGCTGTGACCGTCATAAATACGAATCAGTGCCCAAATTTTGATGGTGACTGCGGAACGCTGCGACCGTCATTAAGTGCGACAGGTCCTAAGTTCCTTTGTTCAGTGACGTCGTCTCTTCAGTCACTAAACTGAAGATATTTAATTTATTGTAATTTAGTCGTAATTTACGGACGTTGAGAGCCATTCAATTATTGAACTGCCACTGGAAAGATTTTTCCTCGCCTGATTTCAGACGAATCCTTATTTTTAGGTATGTTGTTTTATTTATCATTTGATTATCACTTTAAGGGGCCCTGACACCAGCGTGTTCCTGGGGGTCACCCCCTTCCATTTGTGTGTGTGTGTGTGTTTGTGTGTGTGAGACACAAATCTCTCTCGCTCAGGAAGGATTTGCAAAAGAAAAAAATAATAATAAATTCAGATTTTTAATTTTTCTCACGGATTCAGACACCGGGGTGGTTGAAATCCACGCCTTGCCAAAAAGAAGAAAAAAAAAAGCAAATATTTTGCAGCTTACATCGAGATCTCAGCCTCAAGGCAAACCATTTTAACCCATTGTTTAAATCGGGACACAAGTTCTGAGTGTGTTGTGTTTTTAAACGTGGCCGGAGCGACCGGCTGTGTGGAGCACAAAACAAGGAAGAAGAGAAACTGAGGTGGAAACCGGGAGAGAATCTGTACCTTGCAAGACGTTTCACCACCCAACTAGGGAACAGCATCATTGTTAGAAGGGAGGTGGTGGAGGTACCGTGGGTGATCCTGGGTGCTCTCTGAGATTGTAGGTTTACTTGTAGACGTTTCGTGACAAAACTAAGGAACAGCATCAGGGTAGGAAGGAAAGGGGCGGTGTAGATTGTTGTAGCCCGCCAGCCGCCAACAGAGCTGACGGCAGACTCAGAGGAGGGAAGTTGGAGAGCAACTTGGGCCATTTCCGGCATCCGGGGAAGGCTCTGTGTCAGACGCAAAGAGAGACAGGGCTGTCTGACGTTTCCCAGCCCCCGGAGAGGCTGCTGCGGGGAGTGGGAAGAACAGCTGGGGCCTGTTCCAGAGGCGCGTATGTGCAGAGCAGTTAGGAGAGGAGAACAACGGAGGACAAGGAGTCAACTCGGGAAGCAAAACACACGTGGACGCTGAATGGGCCCTCCCTGGCTGTGGAATAAATAGAAGGAAAGAGGAGTGGTGGTCGTAGGGGACAACAGTTCGTATTTCTGAAGATTTTTGCTCATTGGGTTTCGTGCATCAAAGACGGCTTGCCAGAACTTAAATTTGCAGCCTCTCCCGTCCTTGCAATCATCACAAGGAATCGATAAGGTCTGTACTGCAGTTAACTCCTTGCTGGACTTTTCGGTGGGTGAATGCAATTTATTCACAAGAAGAAAATAATAAAAAGGGGTGTGTTTTTTTTCCTGAGGAGGAGTCTGTTTCTTGCTTCTGCTAAAGCTGGATCAGAACCAATGAGGTCACCTAGTTGTGTCACGAAACGCCTTCAGGAAAACCACCAAGCTCAGAGAGCACCATGGACCCCACCAGTGAGGAGGAACCTGTTCCACAGAATAACAAGAGCTGGAAGGGACCTTGGAGGTCTTCTAGTCCAACCCCCTGCCCAAGCGGAAGACCCTCTACCATTTCAAACTACTGGCTGTCCAATCTTTCCTTTAAAACATCCAACTTCTTCAATATCACACAGACAAAACCGGCCCGTGTCCTGGTCAGTTTCTCGACATGTAAAGCTAAGAAGTTCTCAAGTCCCTCGTCGTGGTTGGTCTTCCATGGGCCAGCTTTTTTTTTATTATTATTCAAAACCGGTGTTTGTTTAACAGAAAACACAACAGCCCGACAATCTTTGGTGCGCTTTAAAAAAAAAAAAAGAAAAAGACACAGATGTCCGTCTCCCCAGAGCGCTAAGAGAGCATACATGTCAGTTTATCGAAGCCAGGAGAGCTCTCGGTGGCGTGAAACACGCTTAGAAAAATATCTGTGCATTTGTATGTATAATATATACAACACATGTACATATGTATATGTTCCCTCTCCTTCTTGCTCTTTAAAAAAAATAAAAAATAAACCAGGATTAGAAATGTCCCATATAGAAGTCCACCATGAAATCCACACCCACATTATCCTGCTTGTGCGAGGGAGGCCAGGTTCCTCACTGAGGCCCGGCTGCTTGGAACGGACCGGATTTGGCCATGATCGGGGAAGGTTTGGACCCACGTGGACGAGCTGAGGAGCTGCGGCTCGTCTTGAAGGAGAGCTGGTTAAGGGTTCTCTACCCTCCCTGAGGTCAACCCTGCTTGCCTGCAGGGAGCCCCGAGTTTGAATCCACTGCCCTCCCACCAGACTTACGGATGTCCCAACCGACTCCCAGGAAGACCAGCTGGCGGGTTCAACAGGAGCAGCTCATCTCCCATCGTCAAATGGAGCTGTGGAGCGCCTCAACAGCTTCTCCTCCTGCTTTTTAAATGTAAGGACAACCACTGGGAATTTCAACAGCAAGAAATGTCCAGGAACACGCATTCAGACAAGCACGCAAGCAGTAGAAAGGTGCAGAAAACCATGGATAGGAGATAGACCACCACCATCCCCCCCTCCCCCCAGGGGAAAGCTTCTGAGGACCTTCCTGGGGTTTGTGGCTTGTCCACAATCCACTCACTCACACAGACACGCAGCGATGAGCACCCGTGCTTGGAGAAATGGCCGGGGATTGAGAGTCTCGGGGGAACTTTGGGAAACGAGGCAGAGGAGAAAGAAAAGGGATGGAGTGGGGGGAAACAGAAAGCTCCAATGTCTCTCGGGGTCCTTGCCCAGATCACGACGAATCTTGATCCAAGCTGCACCCCAACGCTTCGATGTCGTTGCTGATGTCGGAGATCATCCGGTCCCACTCGTCGCCCTCCGACGGCGCCGACTGGTCATCGGAGCTTCCGGTGGCGCCATTGCCGTTGGTGGTGGAGTTGGAGACGGATCTCACTGTCCACCGGTATCTCCCGAAGCTATCCGTGATGATCCCCCGTCCGTCCTTCACGCCAATAGTCTCCAGGAAGTTCTCAAAGTATTGGCTGTCCTTCTCGGGGATGAAGGGGCGGAGACCTTGGGAGGAGGAAGAAGGTGGTCAGGGGACTCAGCGGAGAAGGCCTGTCAGAGGACTCGAACGCGGGACCTTGAAAAAAACCACCCGGCTCAGAGAGCACCAAGGACCCCCATAGTCGTCATCCTCCTCCTCTCCACAATCACTTGTAGCACTGATGATGTTTACTAGTTGGGTCACGAGACGCCTCCAAGGAAACTACCCAACTCAGAGAGCAACAAGGACTCTCCCACTCCTTCCTCCATTCACACCCCTCTCCCTCCTAGCCCTGATGATGTTCCCTAGTCAGGCAATAAAATGTCTGTCACAAAACCACCACACTCGCAGAGCACCAAGGACCCCACGGTTGAAGCCAACTCAACTAGCCAGGATAAGCCAACTACCCACAATCCCAATTAATTGGGGGGGGGGGGGGCAGAATCCCACACCGGTTGGGGAAAAGGTTACCCAGCAGGAGGAATTTCCGGCTGTCCCCGTAGAGATGTCTCAGGTTGACGCAAAACTCGTGGACGGAGGCCCCGTTGCGGTACTCGTGCAGAAGCATGGCGAACTGCTGGATCTCATGCGAGGAAAGCTTCGTCCGTAACTAGAACGGAGGAGGAACGCGGTTAACTCAAAATAAAAAGACAAACCAACATTAGAAGTAAACCAAGTTTCGATAAATGGTACAAGGTAGATTGTTTGTTTTCTCCAAGAAGTTAAAACTCACCACTTATAGTTTATGGAAATTAGGCCTTTCTAAATAAAACATAAGGAAGCTGGCTGGGGGATTCTGGGAATCCTCCCCTTTGAAAGCATGCCGAACCTGCTTCTTCAGCAGGGGGTTGGACTGGATGACCTCCAAGGTCCCTTCCAAACCATGTTTATTCTGCAAGCATCTCCTGCTCAAGAAGGGGGGGTAGGACTAGATGACCTCCAAGGTCCCTTCCAAACCACGTTTATTCTGTAAGCATCTCCTGCTCAAGAAGGGGGGGGTAGGACTAGATGNCTAACTAACCATAATTGCTGCCAGCTTTTTCCACATGCATTTTTTTCCTGTTGATAAGCATCCTTTGTCCTTGGGAGGCAGCTCCCACCATTACAGTCTTCCTGGTTTACTTTCAAGGGTGCCCCATGGCCTTGATTTGTTCCAGCAGCCAGCCCAACACTTCATGTTGATGTTTTTGAGGCCACCTGTGCATCTCAACCTTGGGCTAGCTTCTCAAGCCAGCTCCACGTTCTTTCTGGAGATACTAAGCCTGGACTTCAGGTTGCTGGGACAACATAAAGTGTTGGAGAAGTCACCCCCATGGTGGGATAGGTCTAACTGGAACCTCACTCTGTTGTTGCTATAATTATAATTATGGCTTGTTTCTCCTTCTCCCTCCTCCTCCTCCTTTTCTCCTCCTCTTCCGCCTCCCTCCTCCTTCTCCTTCACTATCCCTCCTCTTTTCCCTTTCTTTCTTTCTTTCTTTCTTTCTTTCTTTCTTTCTTTCTTTCTTTCTTTCTTTCTTTTTCTTTCTCTCTTTAATTTTCTTCCTTTCCTTCCTTTTTCTTTCTTTTCTTTCCCATTTCCCCCTTCTTTCATTATATCTTTCTTTTCTTCATTTTCCTCCCTTCCCCTCTCTGTCTGTCTGTCTCTTTCTTTCCTTCCTTCCTTTATTTCTCTTTCATTTTCCTTCTTCCTTCCTTCCCTCCCTCATCCCCCTCCCTCCCTTCCCAGGTGGACGAGACGGGCCTGGAGATGAAAGATATCGAATTGGTCATGGGTGAGGCCAACGTCTCCCGCGCCAGAGCCATCCGAGCCCTTCGGAACAACAACAACGACATTGTCAATGCCATCATTGTAAGCGTTTGAGGGCAGCCATCTTTCCTCCGCTGTGGTTGACTGTAGTCTGGATTCCCGCAAGAAAAGGGAGGGAGGGAGGGGCTGCATTCCAGAGGACAGAGAGAGAGAGCCAAGTTTTGAGAGTTTGGTTGAGAGGAAGAGAATTCACACCGCTCCTTCCCAGTGATTCCCAGAGTATATCCCTAGTGGATTAAATACAGGCAGTCCTCGACTTATGACGGTTCACTTAGTGACCATTCAAAATTCCAGCAGCATGGGGAAAAAAGGGACTTAGGACCACTTTCCCCACTCATGCAGTGTTTCCATGGTCACGAGATCAAAACTCAGATGCTTGGCAACTGACTCATATTTATGACGGTCGCAGCACCCTAACCCTTTTGCGACCCTCTGTCCAGCAAAGGGAAGGCAGACGTCGCAATGCGCTGAACAACCGTGTGACTAACTTCACAACCGCAGGGATTCACTTAGCCTGGTAAAGAAGGTCATCGAACGGGTCAAAACTCACTTAGCAAACATCTCACTTAGCGCCAAGAATTTGGGGCTCAATTGTGGTGGTATGTCGATCGCTACCTATAGAACAGAATAGAAATGAATAGAGAAAGAATAGAAATAGAAAGAATGGTGGAATGGAAGACATTACATTACTACATTATTATATATTGTATTGTATTATTCTATAATAGTATACTATAGTACAGTCTAATTATTTTATTTTATATTTATTATATTATTTTATATGTATTATTTTATAAATATATATTATATTATGTAACTAGGTAACATCACCAGTGCTAGAAGGAGGTGGGATTTGTGGAAAGGAGGAGGAGGAGGAAGGACTGGGGGGGTCCTTGGTGTTCTCTGAGCTGGGTGATTTTCTTGCAGACATCTTATCACCCAGCTAGGGAACGGCGCTAGAAGGGAATGGAGTTTGGGAGGAGGAGGAAGAGCAAGAGGAAGAGGAGAGGAGAAAGGAAGTGGAGGACCGAAGGTGGATTGCTACCGGTTCGTACTGGTTCGGGCAAACTGGTAGTGGAACATTGGCCTGGGTCACAAAACCAGCAATGAGAGAGCACCAATTCCTCCCCCCAAACTCCAAACCCTTCCAGCACTGATGATGTTACCTAGCTGGGTCGTGAGACGCCTGCGAGACCTGATGCTTCTCTTCTTCCTCTTCTGTCTTCCAGGACCTGACCACATAGTGACCGCTGGCGTGATGCCCAGCCCAGCCCACCCACCCACCCCTACCCCTCACTTCTGTATTAGACTCCCTTAGCTGATTCAGCTGTTGGGAACTTGCTCAATACACTCAATAAACAATATATTCACTCCTGCTTCACCTGGGCTCCGTCTCTCTCTTTGCTGGGGGGAGGGAGGGAGAGGTGGTTTTTTTTGCAGCTGCTAAGTGTCAGTCCTTGACTTACAACGGTTCGTTTAACGACTGTTCCGAAAGTGACAACGTCCCCGAAAAATGGGACTTGGACGTAGCCAAATTAGACCCACAACATTTCGATTCCTGGCCGTCTGGGGTTAAAAATGCCGAACATTCCCCACGAACATGGCCACCGACTCATATTTACGACGGTGGCAACCTCCCAAGGTCATACAATCCCCCATTTGCGACCTTCTGACAAAAGGAGGAAGCTGATTCATTTTAACAACCGGGTGACTAGCTTATGGATGGCCGCAATTCGCATAACAACAGTGGTAGAATAGGTCGTAAAGTGGGGCCAAGCTCACTTAACCAATGTCTCGCTTAATGACAGATTATTTGGGGGTCAGTTGTGGTCGTAAGGCAAGGAATGCCTGCATTTTTTTTCAGTCTGTGATTTTTTTTTGTCTTCTTGCCGACAATGGAGAAATGTAATTTGTGCATCAGAATTACTAAACTGGAGGGCACTTTGGAGGTCATCTAGTCCAACCCCCTACTTGAGTAGGAGACCTTTGTAGAGTTACAGAATTAGAGTTGGAGGCGACCTTAGAGGTCATCTAGTCCAAACCCTGTTCAAGCAGGAGACCCTTACAGAATAGTGGAGTTTGAAGGGACTCCTGAGATCATCTAGAATAGCATTTAGAATACAATAGCAGAGTTGGAAGGGACCCTGGAGGTCTTCTAGTCCAACCCCCTGCCTAGGCAGGAAACCTTATTCCATTTCAGACAAATCGCAACATCTTCTTAAAGACTTCCAGTGTTGGGGCATTCACAACTTCTGGAGGCAACTTCTGTTCCACTGATTAATTATTCTCACTGTCAGGAAATTTCTCCTCAGTTCTAAGTTGCTTCTCTCCTTGATTAGTTTCCACCCATTGCTTCTTGTTCTNTCATCTCTGCCCCCGGGGAAGATGAGGCTGAAGTCATGGATGGAAGCCCACTTCAGAGTCCTCCAGAAGATCTTCCAAGACAAGAAGCCGATGGGACGGCCAACGAGAAGATCATGGAAAAAGTGTTGGAGGCGATGGAATTGGAGGAGACGGAGATGGAGACGAGCCATCCAAGGATGGAGAATCTTCTCACCAAAAGCACGGGACACCCTTCTTCAGAAGATGCCTTCTCGTCTCAGGACTCCCCCATTCCTCTGGCTTCCCGTTCCGTCGGAACGTCGTCACCTCTGGCAGAAGGTAAGACCTCCCATTTTCTTCCCGTTCAACAATTACAGATAAATCTTGACTTATTACAGTTTGTTTAGTGAAGTGAAGTTATCTACACTTCAAACAGTAGTGAAGTTATCACTGAGAAAAAGGGGCTTTGGGGCCAATTTGGATACTCACGGCCCTGTGGCCACGCGATCGAAATTGGCCCATATTTATGGCGGTTGAAGCACCCCCGCAGGTAACGCAATCCCCTTTTGCAAACCTTCCGACAATGCAGAAATCGGATTCGCTTAACGACCGAGCAACTGCGATGGTTTGCTTAACAAGAACCCCGATTTACAATGTTTCTGCTGAAAATTGACATTTTCACTCAATCCCACCTCATATCAACCAGTGGGTTTGCTTAACGACGGCTGTGTTTTGCTTAACGGCCACAGTGGTGGCTTAACGACTGGCGTAGTCCCTTAACAATTGCAATAATGGCTTAACAAAGGAGGAGGAAGAGGAGGGAGAGGCGAGTGGAGTGTGCGTGCAAAACAACGCACTCAGCGAACTGGCAGTAACACCAGCAACACCCCCTGCCTCCAAGGTCCCTTCCAGCTTTAGGATTCCATGATCTTTGGTGGGACCTTCAGGGATGTCCACCAGGATGGGCGGGGGGGTTGGACTAGAAGGCCTCCAAGGTCCCTTCAAGCCTGAGGATTCTATATTGTGTGACTCTCATGACAACTGCAGTGGTTCCCTTGAGAATTGTAGAATGAAGGGGGATAATATGGGGACAAAGCTCACAGCATCTCACTTAACAACAGCAATGTGGGGGCTTAATTGTCATCGTACGTTGAGGACTGAGCTTCGGTAAAGTCGACCTCAGACTGAATACCCTAAAATATATTTTTTTTCCAGGATTTCCCAACGATTCCGAAAGCAACGAAGGATTGCAACCGGGATTGGAAGATCCGAATCTTCCAGGACCACGGACAGCTCACATGGAGCAGGTGTGGCCCTTGCAGACCAAATGGGTGGAGTTCAATTCCCAGAATTCCCTCGTCAGTTGCACTTGGGGGTGGGCCAGGCTGAGAGAGGGAGGCTAGAGGTCACCCAGCTGGCTTTCCTAGCCAAAGATGGGACTAGAACTCAGCATCCCCTGGTGATTGGCCCAAAGTTACCCAGCTGTCTTTCTTGCTTAATGTGGGACAAGAACTCCCCAAATCTTGGTGATTGGTCCAAAGTCACCCAGCCAGCTTTCATGCCTAAGGCGGGACTAGAACTCCCAGACTTTTGGTTAACGGCCCAAAGTCACCCAATCAGCCTTCACATCTAAAGCAGGACTAGAACTCCCCATCTCCCAGTGATTGGCCCCAAACCACCCACTCCGCTTTCCTCCCTAAACCGAAACTAGAACTCCCCGATCGTTAATGGCTGTGTTCTCAAGGCACCTGAAATTGCATCTATTCCACTGATAAATAAAGTAAAAAAATGAAATTGATAGATTCTAGAAGGAATGGAGGACAAGAGGTGATATGTGGACCTGGGTCCAAATGTTCTGGGTTCGAATTTTGCCTGTTTTGTTTTGCTTTTAAACGTTGAGGCGATCGGGCTATTTTTCTCAAACTCTCTCACTGGATACGGACAGGGCTGGTGTTGCTTTGCACCAAACGCCTGGGGCGAAGGCCACAACTCTCTGAAAAATTGTGGCTTTTGTGACCCACAATTGCAAAGACCGGGAGTGTTGATGGGAAAGACGCACAATAAAATAAATAAATAAAATACCTTTTAAAAAACGATCTTGGAGGCTTAATCGAGACCAACTAAATGCCTTTCCGGGAAGGTAAAGAGAAAGTGATGGGTCGTTGAGGGGAGAGCATGAAAACGGTCCTTCACCCACAGCGATCCACTTAGGAGTAAGGGATGAGTAAATGGATTTGGGTTTGGGTTTTTTTGCAGAACCAGCTGATGCATTTCCTGGGGGCTGGAGAGGAACCCCCTGTGAAGCCCAAACCAAGCCGAAGTGAGAAGAAAGCTCGAAAGGTAATTCCCTCTTTCTTCCTTCCTTCCTTCCTTCCTTCCTTCNAAGGTCCCTTCCAAACCACGTTTATTCTGTAAGCATCTCCTGCTCAAGAAGGGGGGGGTAGGACTAGATGACCTCCAAGGTCCCTTCCAAACCACATTTATTCTGCAAGCATCTTCTGCTCAAGAAGGGGGTTGGACTAGATGACCTCCAAGGTCCCTTCCAAACCACGTTTATTCTGCAAGCATCTCCTGCTCAAGAAGGGGGGGGTAGGACTAGATGACCTCCGAGGTCCCTTCCAAACCACGTTTATTCTGCAAGCATCTCCTGCTCAAGAAGGGGGTTGGACTAGATGACCTCCAAGGTCCCTTCCAAACCACATTTATTCCGCAAGCATCTCCTGCTCAAGAAGGGGGGAGGGTTGGACTGGATGACCCCCAAGGTCCCTTCCAACTGCCATTTTATGATTCCACAAGGGTCTCCTCCTTGAGAAAAGGGTTGGGACTAGATGACCTCTGGGGGGAACCTTCCTACTCTTCTTGGGGGGGGGGAGGGTTTCCTTCTCTCGTTCCACTTACCGTCATCATGTAGTCCTGCAGGAGTTCCGTGGCCGTCGTGCTCAATTCGCTGTCGCTGGCTGTTTTGGCGGGGGGTGACGGCTGGGCCGAGAAAGAGGTGGGGGAGTTTCCAGCCGTATCCAAGGATTCTGGGAAAGAGCTGGAAAGACACGGGGGATTGGGGGACCTTCCAAAGGGGCGGCCTGGGCCTCGAATCTGGAGGGGGGTGGAGTTTGGGACCAGGGATGGCCACTAGGTTTCCCACCGTCGTAAGTCGAGGACTCCTTGTCCGATAGCTGTACTCCATTTCAATTCCATTTGGAGAGAAAACTTATCGCCGATAATTATAATAATAATAGAGGCAGTTCTCGATGTACGACTGAAACCGAGCATCCACTCACGTTTTGGTCACTAGGCGAGACGTTTAAAATTCATTTCGCCACCTTTGTATGGATTTCCCTGGTCCTCCTGTGCTGCGGTTGTTAAATAAGTCACCCCCACCGTTTAATGAATGCGGCTTCCCCGTTGAGTTTGGGGATCTGCGTCAACCTGGGATGCTGCGATCGTCATAAATGTGAGTCAGAATTTGGATCATAAGAGATGCCCCAAGGGTAGTTGGTGCAAAAAATGCCGTCGTAACTTGGAATGGTCGCTAGATGTAAGACGAGGAGTACTTATGCAGCCGCACATCCAAAGCAAACCTCATCGGGGACAGTCGAGGTTGTTCTTGACTTACGACCATTCGTTTAGTGGTGAAAGTTACGACGGTGCTGAAAAAGTGGCTTAGAGGCACACCTCTCGCGACCTTCTCAGCACCCCCACGCTTACGTGATCAAAATTGGCACTCAGAACAGTATTGAAAAAGTGAATTTCAGCTACTCCTCACATTTATGACGATTGAAGGACCCCCCCGCTAACGTGATCAAAATTGGCACTCAGAACAGTATTGAAAAAGTGAATTTCAGCTAGTCCTCGCATTTATGACGATTGAAGGACCCCCCCACGCTTACGTGACCAAAATTGGCACTCAGAACAGTATTGAAAAAGTGAATTTCAGCTAGTCCTCGCATTTATGACCATTGAAGGACCCCCACGCTAACGTGATCAAAATTGGCACGTAAATCGGTGCTGAAAAAGTGACTTTCACCCAGTCTTCGCACTTACGACGATTGTAGCATCCCCATGGCCAGGTGATCAAAATTTGGTGGTTAAAATAACACCCCCCCAAAAAGGGTGACTTTCACCCAGTCCTCGCACTAACGACGCTTGAAGCACCCCCCCATGGTCAAGTGATCAAAATTTGGACCTTAAAACAGTTCTTTTTAAAAAAGAGAGACTTATGACCATTTTTCACACTTATGACCATCGCTGCATCTCTCTGGTCCCGTGGTCAAAATTTGGACTCTTTGAGCCTGGCGTGTACTTACGAAGATTAACGCGACCCCCCCCCCCTTCCGCTTAACCCCTGCCCGACTCACTGAACAGCTGCAGTGATTTGCTTAATGACGGCGGCCACGAAAGCTCGTCAAACGGAGCCAAAACTCCCTCCACCATCTCGGCAGCCAAAATCTGGGACCCCCCCATGTCGGTCGTTATAAGTCGAGGACAACCTGTAGGGATGATGAGAGACCCTCCCCAGGGGGATGGAACTCACAATGTGCTGGCTTCCGTTTCATAGGGGTCCTTGATGTCCACTTTGGTCGATGAGTCATCTGTGGGGGGAGAACCAGGCTTCAGGACAGGGCAGGGGGTGGGTGGGGGCTTCAGGCTCCCCACCCCCACCCGAGACGGTCCTTTCTGACAGCAAACCCTGGGCACAAGCCCCTCGGGGGGGCCGGTCCACCTGCAGAAGGAGTATCTGTGGAGCTTTGGAGACCCTCGCCCCTCCAACAGGGAACGAAGGTTATGAGTAGGGGTCTCCCCCTCGTTTCTGAAAATTTTCCCTGCTAGGAGGGAGGGGGCTTCAAGAGGAGGAGGAGGAGGAGAGGAGGAGGAGGAGGAGGGCAGGAAGCGCAAAGAAGATTAGGAGGAACAGAAAGGGGGAGGAATAGGAGGGAAGAAGAGGAGGGGGAGGGACAGGAGGAGAATGAGGAGAAGAACAAAATGGAGGAGAAGGAGAATGAGAAAGAGGAGGAATAGGAGGAGGAGAAGCACGAGGAACAGGAGGAGAAGGAGGACAAAGTGGAGAAGGAGAACAAGGAGAAAAAGTAGAATGAGAAAGAGGAGGAACAGGAGGAGAATGAGAATGAGAACAAGGAGAACGAAGTGGAGGATACAGAGAAGAACAAGGAGAAGAACGAGGAGGAGGAAGAGAGGAAGAGGAGGAGGGCAGGAAGCGCAAAGAAGATTAGGAGGAACAGAAAGGGGGAGGAATAGGAGGGAAGAAGAGGAGGAGGAGGGACAGGAGGAGAATGAGGAGAAGAACAAAATGGAGGAGAAGGAGAACGAGGAACAGGAGGAGAAGGAGGACAAAGTGGAGAAGGAGAACAAGGAGAAGAAGTAGAATGAGAAAGAGGAGGAACGGGAGGAGAATGTGAACAAGGAGAACAAAGTGCAGGAGACAGAGAAGAACAAGGAGAAGAATGAGGAGGGGGAACAGGACAAGGAGGACAAGGAGAAGGAGGACAAAGTGGAGAAGAAGAAGAATGAGAAAGAGGAGGACAGGAGGAGAAGGAGGACAAAGTGGAGGAGAAGGAGAAGAACAAGGAGAAGTAGTAGAATGAGAAAGAGGAGGAACAGGAGGAGAATGAGAACAAGGAGAACAAAGTGGAGGAGTCAGAGAACAACAAGAAGAAGAACGAGGAGGAGGAGGAAGAGAGGAAGAGGAGGAGGAGGAGGGGGGCAGGAAGCACAAAGAAGATGAGAACAGAAAGGAGGAGGAATAGGAGGAGAATGAGAACGAGGAGGAGGACAAGGCGGGGGAGGAGGAGGAGGGAAGAAGAGGAGGAGGAGGGACAGGAGGAGAATGAGGGAAAGGACAAAATGGAGGAGAAGGAGAAGAAGAATGAGAAAGAGGAGGAATAGGAGAAGAAGAACGAGGAAAGGAGGAGAAGGAGGACAAGAAAGAGTAGAAAAAGGAGGAACAGGAGGCTAATGAGAATGTGAACAAGGAGAACAAAGTGCAGGAGACAGAGAAGAACAAGGAGAAGAACGAGGAGGAGGAACAGGGGAGAAGGACAAGGAGAAGGAGGACAAAGTGGAGGAGAACAAGAAGAAGAATGAGGAGGAGGACAAAGGGGAGAAGGAGAAGAACAAGAATGAAAAAGACGAAGAACGGGAGGAGGACAAAGTGGAGAAGAAGAAAAAGAAGAAGAAGGAGAAGAAGAAGGAGAATGAGAAAGAGGAACAGGTGGAGAATGAGAACTAGGAGAACAAAGTGGAGGAGACAAAGAAGAACAAGGAGAAGATTGAGAATGAGAAAGAGGAGGAACAGGAGGAAAATGAGAACGAGAAGACAAAGTGGAGAAGGAGAACAAGGAGGAGGAGGAGGAGGAGCAAAACAACAAGGAGTTGGAGATGATGCTGAGAGAGCACCAAGGATCCCACAGTCCTTCTCCTCCTCCTCCATTCTCCTTCTCCTACTTTCACCCCACTAGCACTGATGAGTTTCCCTAGCTGGGTCACGAGACGTCTGCAAGAAAAAAGGACCCAGCTCAGAGATACAAATATTCTCTTCTCTTGGGAGTAAATCCCCGAGGGCCCATCACCCTCATTTCAACCTCCATCTTTCCAACTATGGACGTTCCTTGTGACCAAGTTCTGGAGACGATCTCTCCTGAGGAACCTCAACAGGCCACCAACACCTCCTGATCCAACTTCCCACCCGTAAAACCTGACTCGAAGGAGGAAGCCTCTTGTTCCCGCCCCCGGGAGGAGGGAGAGACGCCATCTCGACGGCTGCTCCATGAATCCAAGGGCCTCCGGAAGAGGTGTCTCCTTACCGCTGTGTATGGAGAGATGCCGGGTGGGCGTGGTGGCCCCATCGAAGATGGCTCTGTCCAGGAAGTCTATCGTAGATTCCGTGTAAACGATGTGGAAGACTTGGCTGAGGAGGGAGCAGAGTTCCTCACCCGTGACCTGGAGGAAGGAGGAACCCAACGGAGGTGAGGTGGACATCCCTTCCAAGAAGTCCTTCAGAAGAAGGTGAGAACTTCCAGAAGATGGAGGTTCTGGTAGAAACCTACCACATTGAGGAGAAAGCGGTCCATCGATGGTACGCCGAGGGCGGCTAATAACAGGAAGTCCACTCGACTTAAAACACTTTGCTTAGTGACTGTTCGGAGTTATGACGGCCCCCCAAAAAAGGACGGTTCTTTGCCCTAACGACCGTTGTGGCACCCCCAAAGGTTACAGGAACCAAATTTGGACATTTGGCCACGGACTCATATTTACGATGGTCGCAGCGCCCTGCTGGTCCCGCAACCCCCCCTCCCCTTTTGCAACAAAAGGGAGTCTGACTCCCTTAACGACCATGGCAGGGATTACCTGAACGGACGGGGCAGGAGACGTCATAAAACAGGACACAACTCACGGAGCGAATTTCTCACTTAGCCACAGGAATCTGGGGCTCAATCAGGGTGGTAAGTTCGAGAGGGGGGGGGACTGCGCTGGGGACCGCTGGGAGCTGGGTTCGGAAGGTGACGGTTCGGTCACTAAAGGGGAGGGAAGATCTAATCCTCGGGAACCAAGTTATGTTGTCCTTGGTGGAAACATTAAGACAAACCAGGATCCTGGAAATGTACGTCACCGGTTGGGCCTAGAAACCCGGAGACAGTGAGTTCTAGTTTTGGTTTAGGTATGAAAGCCAGCTGGGTGGCTTTGGGCCAATCACCGGGCAACGGTGAATTCTAGTCCAGCCTTAAGACATATAAGCCAGGAAGACGGGGAGGAGAGACGTATTCGATTTAATAATGAAATAAATTAAAAAACATTGGAGGGCAATTCGGGCAGGAGGACCCAAAAGAAAACCGCAGGGCGCCCCGGGGCCGAGGATCTAACCTTATTCTCTGTGGCGAGGATCACCAGGCAACAGGCTTCGACGGGCACCACGCCACTCTCCGAGAGAGAGCCCGAGGCGAGAGCTTTGGTGCTTTCGGCACAAAGGCTCTGGCTGGGGGAGATGCCGGGGTCCTGAGCTGAGAAAAAACGGAGGCTGTGAGTGGAGACGGCCCCCCGCCCACCCCCCTCCCGCCTTGTAGTAGACGTTTCAGGACCCAACTAGGGATCATCATCAGCGCTGGAAGGGAGGGAGGTTTGGAGAGGGAGGGGGGATAGATGATAGGTAGACAGAAATAATTACAAATAGATGGATGGATGGATGGATGGATGGATAGATAGAATAGATGGATGGATAGATGATAGATAGAATAGATGAATAGATGATAGATGATAGATAGATAGATAGATAGATAGATAGATAGATAGATAGATAGATAGATAGATAGATGATAGATAGATAGATAGTTGGATGATAGATAGAATGATGGAGAGATGATAGATAGAATAGATGGATGGATAGATGATAGATAGAATGATGGATGGATAGATAGATAGATGGATAGATGATAGATAGATAGATAGATAGATAGATAGATAGATAGATAGATAGATAGATAGATAGAATAAATGGATAGACAGAGAGAGAGAGAGATAGACAGACAGACAGATAGAAAGAATAGATCAATGGATAGTGATAGACAGACAGATAGACATAGAAATAAGATAGAGTGAGATAGATAGAATGATGGATGGATAGATAAATAGATGGATAGAGGATAGATGAGATAGATAGATAGATAGATAGATAGATAGATAGATGGATGATAGATAGATAGATGATAGATAGAATGATGGATGGAGAGATGATAGATAGATAGAATGATGGATGGATAGATATAGATAGATAGATAGATAAGATAGATGATAGATAGAATAGATGGATCAATGGATAGAGATAGACAGCCAGACAGACAGACATAGAAATAAGATAGATATAGATAGAATAGATGGATGGATAGACAGATAATAGAAAGATAGATAATAGATGATATAGAGATGATAGAGATATTATAGACAGATAAATATGGTGATATAGAGATATAGATAACACATAGATGATAGACAGGTACAGATAATAGAGGTAGAGACAGACAGACAGACAAACATTGATTAATGATAGAGATACAGGGATAAATGATAACATGCCAAGTCAAGAGGCTTAACGACTGAGGCAATCCGCTTAACAACCATCGTGATTTGCTTTACCACTGCAGCATGAAGGCCACAAAGAAGGGCGTGACTCATTTTGAACAACCGCATACGGGTGGTCCTTGAATTTACGACTGCAATTAAGCCCCCACATCTCCGTTGCTAAGCGAAACATTTGTGAAATTTGTCTGTGTTTTTCCGTCCACTGCCACCTGCTGTTAAGTGAATCGCTGTGGCTGTTGTTCAATATACAGTCGTTAAGTGAATCCAGCTTCCAAAATTGACTTTGCTTGTCGGGTGGTTGCAAAAGGGGACCGTCGTAAGTACGAGTCAGTCCTGAAGTCTCCAAATTTCGATCGCGTGACCACCACAACGGCCGTTAAGTGTGAAGAAAGAAACGGTCCCACGTCCATTTTTCCCATAACTCTGAATGGTCACTAAGTGAAGCGTTGTAGTGGGAGACCATCGGCATTTGTAACTGTTGCAACGTCCCTGGGTGACCTGATTCTCCACTGGCAACCTCCCCAGCCGATATCCAACAAGCCAAGTCAATGGACCCGCTTAACAACCACATGACTCACTTAATGACGGTCATGATTCACTTAACAACCAGGGGGGGAAAAGGCAACAGAAGCCAATGTAGGCCCTGTAAGTGTCTCGGGTCCAAGTAGTCTTCGACTCAACAATGCTTTATGTCACAAAGGAAGACAGTGGTGAAGTGACTTCCGCCCGCTTCCAATGGGTAGGGATTCACTTAACGACGGGGTGATAAAACTCCTGAAGCAAGCTGTGACCCGCTCGTACCGCTCAGCAACGGAAAGACACGTCCCCCTTGGCGGTCGTAAAGCCGAGGACTCACCCTTCTCCCCACCTACCTGTTTTCAAGACCACCAGATGGGACGAATCGTCTCGGATATACGACACTGACGCGATGTCGTGGATGGGCACCCGGAGGATGAGGTCCTCGCCGTCGCGCCAGAGGAGCTTGACGTTGTAAGCCGAGACGCTGACCACGGCGTCGTGCTCGTGAGTCAGCTGGCCGGGAAGCTGGTGAGCCCTCTGTGGGAGCGGGAGAGAGAGAGAGAGAAGGGAGGGGGTCGGAAGGCATCCGTTCCCCAAACTATTCCCGATGGGAAAATGGGGAGGGGGAGGGAAGACTCCCCTCCTCCGCCAAGGGGTTCAGGAGGGCCCAAAACAGGGGAGGAAGCGTGGAAAATTTGCGGTCCTGGGTGCTCTCTGCGCTGAGCGGGTTTCTTGCAGACATCTCATGACCCACCCGGGAAACGTCATCAGGATGGGTGTGTAGGTAGGTAGTCAGATAAATAGGAAGGAAGGAGAGGAGGAGGAGGAGGAAGAAGAGGAAAAGGACTGTGGGGTGCTCTCTGAGCTGGGTGGTTTCCTTGCAAACATCTCGTGGGCTAAGTAGGAAGTGGGGGTGTCGGGGAAGAAAGAAAGGAAGGAAGGAAGGAAGGAAGGAAGGAAGGAAGGAAGGAAGGAAGGAAGGAAGGAAGG